CTTTTTCATCACTTAGTTTATTCTCTAATTGCCAAAGGCATTTAAGGATTAATTTAAATTCCAGTGTACTTGAGATACTCCCTAACTTGTCACTATTTATTTTTCTTCTGCCTTTTCCCTTTTCTCAAACCCACAGGCGTGAAGAGATTAGATTAATAAACAGCTTCTTTATACAGTTAAGTAAATGCTAGCCATTCTTCAGAGGTTACCTATCACAGCATCACTCTCTGTACTAAACACCATAGATGAAAGACTTCTTTAAAGAAAGTTAAGTATGAGGAAATGTCTCATGAAATGTGTTGAAACTGCCCCTTCTAAAATGGGCTGTTGTGTTGGAGAGCTGGAGTCTCGGTCCCCTTGAAGCACAGGAGTGGGAATTCTCTGAGGACCAGTCAAGACCCCAGGTTTTTTCCTGGCATGCTGTCCTGTTGCCTTTCCAGAAAGGAAAACCATCAGCTGCACTTAATCTTGACATACGCTCCTTTTCAATTTGTTATGCTAGGATAAGAACTGGAGCAGCAAAGGAAATGCATTGACTGTTGGTATGTGCTGTGAGAGTCATGTAGAACTGGGGTTTTTCAGCACGTCACTAGGGATGAAGGGTTTCAGGTGTATTCAAAGCTCTGGGGCTTTCTAGCCTCTTGCACACCTGGGCTTCTTAAATGGAACACACGAATATATAGGGCACGCAGCATAAACCGATATGTGCCTACAGCTGTCCTTACCCAGACAGCAGCTTTGCAGCATCTGAAATCTGTAACTCCAATCGCTGTGAAATCTGGTCTTCAGGCTTTGTCAGCTTTTGGAGAAGATGAAATTCTTGCATCAAGCCAAGACTAAAACAGCATCTCTGTGATCGGGTTTCATTCTACTCCCAGTGAATCGTCTTCCCATGCGAAACTCCAGCACATTCAAGGCCAGGAAGGCAGCTCTCCCACCCGGCTGGTTGGCCATGTCGCTGATGCCTCTTTCCCTGGTTAACCTTTGAAGGTCCTGGGTGAAAGTTGAGCATGTGTCACTGCAAAGTTTTGACGTTTGGTGGCTTGACAGCAAAAGTGTTGTGCCATAAACATGTTCAATCTGTGTCCTGCAGACACTGCCTGAAAAATAACTACACATTTGTAATGTTTCTAAGTCCAGCTAGGGCTTGGAAGGACGAGTTTTTGAAGGAAAACAAACCATTGTTTCTAGTTTAGGTAGATGTCATGCTCTGACAATTGGAGTTCAGTCGTTGACAAGAATTATTCTTAGAACATCATTCAAAAATCTATTACAGTGTTTGACTCCAGCATGATATCAGATGACTGATACGCTGGACAGACTTGCAGGCATTTTGAGGAGCATCTCAGCATCCTCTCATTGCATCTGGAGACAGCTCTGAAATGTTGCCATTGGTGAGCCAGTAAATATTTCTGAACAGTGAAATGCAGAAGAAAGAGACTGGGAAGGCAGCATTTCTCCAGGGACCATCTCACTGGCTCATTTTTAGCCCCAGGTCAGTGCGAGGCTGACTCAAGTCCTCGTTTGCAGTCTGGTTTGCTCACATGATTCTCATTAAATGGATGTGTTTAGGCTAAAAAAGGAGGAGTTTTAGAAAGATGGTTTTTATCTGCATTTATAGATGCCCCAGGTCATTAGCAGGAAGCTTTTAAATTTAACAATCCTGTTTGCTTCTTGTCTGTTGGAGTGAGCTCGGAAAAGAAGGTGTTGGCTTCTCGTGGGCTTTGGTTTTGGTGTCTCATGCAGTAACCCAGCAGTAGCTGGTTTTATTTTGGGATTATAAATTCCAATTCCATGTGACTTTTTTTTTTTTCCCCCTGTAAATTAACCAAATTAGTTCTGCTTTCTTAATGTGCCCTAGGAGCACTTTAGGAGGAAAGAGGAGAAACCTTAAGGATTGGTTTCACGCTCTGTTTCTCTCCAGAGCATGGCAATATCAGGCTGGCCATATACTCCCGGGGAGGAGGGTTTCATAGGAAGCAGGTGAAGAAGATCCAAGGAGGCGGGCGGGTGGCAGCACAGCGGTATTTGGGCTGTGCAGAAGAAGGGGCTAGCAGCCCGCAGGGAGCGATGCAGTGTGCTCCTTGGTGCGCCTGCAGCCGGGCAGGTGCAGAGGCAGGCAGAGAGCTTGCGGAGGAAAGCCTGAACCACATCTCATGTCTCTGTGGACAATGTGCAAACAGGTCCTGGTTCTCCTGTATTAGTTCATGGTTTTGCAATTATTCCCGTATTCTGAGCAAACATGTTTCTGTCCCCTGATGGCCATCTTGCAGCTGGCATTGTTGTGGATAGGCACAATTAGTGCCGTTTTGACTGAAAAATTTGGGTTGTTTAGCAACATTTCCCTTCCTTGCCGGGGTGAATGAACTCAGACTACTGCTAGGAACACCCCTAACTTCATGCACAAACCCTGCTGTTTGACTATTTTGCTGCATTTGTTTTGAGTGGGAGGAAAGACGAGAGTTTGTCCCCTCCCGCTCTTTATTAACCTGTGTGCACGAATGACTTCCTATTCCTATGTCAGTGTATTGTTATTATCTGAATATTGTATTCATGTGTGGATGTGATAGGGAGAGTCTGCACATCAGTATTAAATCATAGGAAAGTTGGACCAAATGTATACGAATAGTAGTTCACAATATTAATACGGTTATTATATGGTAAGATTAATAGAGCATTTGGTGGGTCCTCTCTCTGTTCATGAGAGCAAAGCCTAGATTTTTATTTTTTTTTAAACAGGTTTAAATAAAGACACAAACTCTCTGCTATGGAAGTATTGCAGACACGGGTTTTATAGCAATTCCAGCCCCACCACCTCAGTTATTCCAGCTGTGCTGAAATGGCAGGAAAACTTGGGTTTTCAGCATGTATTCATCTCTGTGCCCCCTTCCACAAATCATCCAGCAAACAGAAAGAAAAATGTGAGAAATAATACACTTCATTTGTTACCTTGATGACGTTAACCATGACTTGTCACAAGGAAAACAAATGAGCCAGCTCGTGCCTGGTGCATGGTGGCAGAGCAGGTGCTGGTGGTTCACGGAGCAGATTCCAGGCCAGCGACACGAAGGGCTTGGGTGGCAGTTTGCATCTTCTCTCCTCAAAAGCAGCATTTCTGTCGTCAGGAGTTGCAAAGCAGCAGGTTTTGTGGTTGCGTTTCAGTGCAAAACTTTACCATTCATTCTGTGCTTCTCAGCTTTGTGGGAATACAGCATTTAATTGCTTTGCCAGAACTTGAAAGCTGAATTTCTTACAGTTGATAGATACTTGTAAAAACAGTGGATTACAAATTAGATTGTAATCTAATTTGATTAGATTACAGCATGATCTTTAATACCCTTCCTCTGTGGCTTAATGCAGGATCAGGACTGATCCCAGACGGTAGAGCCTCTGTGCACATGTTGTTTTTTGGCTGTGCCCAGTTCCAGGGGGTGCACTGGGATCCCCCTTCAGCCGCTGTGCTCAGTGGTGATGCTTGTGTGCCAGCACAAAGCGGTTGCTTGGCTGCTGCCCTGAAGCTCCGTCAGACTTCTCTGCTCGCTGAAAGCCAACAACTGCCTGAGAAAATTCACCAGACCGAAGCCCAGCTTGCTTGCACCAGAGAGAGGTGAAAGATGAGTGTCTGCACCTCCCTCACCCCGGAGCCGGGTGCAGATGGGCGCTGGGAACCCATCAGTGTTCCTGCGCTGGCGGACACGACTCGTTAGGAAGCTAATTGAGCGAGGGAGCAGCGGCTCGAGGAGCAGGGAGCTCAGAGGGACAGTTTGCTGCATGTCACATCACCCAGGGTCCTGAGCTCCGCATCCAGGCAGGTGCTGAAGCCCTGACAGCGTGTCATGGAGCACCCCCGGGGGGGCTGTGTGGCCTCCAGTGGGAGCTGCGCTTTTGGAGATGCTTAGGTTTTGTCTGCTGAGCTGTCTGGTTCTAAAAACCAAAAAACTCAACCCAAATTCCCCCCCCCCCCCC